ATACTTAGATTGACTGATAAAAATACCATGAGAAGTTTGTTTGAATTGAAGCCCAAGAAAAAAATGAAGCTCACCCATCATGCTCATCTCAAAGACAGATTTCATTGCTTCACAAAACTCAGAACACATAGCTGGATCAGTGGATCCGAAAACAATATCATCGACGTAAATTTGCACAATAAGCATATGAGATCCAGAAGTTTTAGTGAATAAAGTCTTATCAACTGAGCCTTGGTCAAACTGTTGGTCTTTAAGGAAGTTTGTTAGACGATCAAACCAAGCTCTAGGAGCTTGTTTGAGACCATACAAAGCTTTATTTAACTTGTAAACGTAATCTGGATGTTGAAAATCAGTGAAACCAGGAGGCTGAGAAACATATACTTCTTCTTGAATGTCTCCATTCAAGAAGGCACTTTTTACATCCATCTGGTATAAAGGAAAATTTTTATAACAAGCAAAGGCACATAACAACCTAATTGATTCCAAACGAGCAACGGGGGCAAACGTTTCATCAAAATCGATTCCCTCCTCTTGGCAATATCCTTGTGCAACAAGGCGTGCCTTGTTGCGGATGACATTGCCTTCCTCATCAGATTTGTTACGAAACACCCACTTAGTTCCTATAATAGTTCTTCCTAGGGGTCTAGGGACTAACTCCCAAACCTTTAGATATTCAAACTGAGATAATTCCTCTAGCATAGCATAAGCCCATTTTTCATCATGTAGAGCCTCCTTATAAGATTTAGGTTCTAGTTTGGAAACATAAGCGTACTGACCAGGGGTGTACTTACCTCGGGTTCGGAGACCATCTCTAATATTCCCAATAACCTGACTTTCAGGATGTCTCCTTTGGATGTGAGGTGGTGCTTGTATCCTGTCATCGGCTTCATTTGAGTAATTTGGCATAGGTCCTGGTTCTGAGATTGCCACTGGCTCAATCTGTTGAGCTGCTTGAGTGTGATTTTCACTTGGAGGTTGCTGTTGCACAGATGGTGTGTTTAAGTTTGCATCAACTGGTCCTTTTTCTTGCCAGCGAGTTAGCTCCAGAAGATCTAAAACCTGTGTTTCTGTCTCAAATGTCTTAACAGAAGCATCAGCATTATCAAATAAAACATGAACAGATTCTTCGACTTTACGAGTACGTTTGTTATAGATTCTGTAAGCTTGCCCTTTCAAAGAGTACCCTAAGAAGATAGACTCATCTGACTTAGCATCAAATTTGCCTAGGGTATCTTTGGTGTTAAGAGTAAAGCATCGACATCCAAAAGGATGGAAATAAGAGATATTTGGAGTCTTTTGCTTTAAAATTTCATAAGGGGTCTTATTTAGATGTTTTCTAACAAGAACCCTGTTAATAACATAACAAGCTGTACTAACAGCTTCTGCCCAAAAGAACTTAGGAAGATCATAGTCAATCAACATGGTTCTAGCAGTTTCAATAATAGTGCGATTCTTCCTTTCAACTACCCCATTCTGTTGGGGAGTTCTAGGAGCAGAGAAGGTATGAAGAATGCCTAAAGATTCACAAAACTCAGAGAATTCTTCTGAAATGAATTCTTCTCCATTATCACTTTTAATACTCTTAACCTCAGGGTACATTCTGACAAAAGAGTGAAACTTTTTAAAAGTTTCATCTTTACTAGCAAGAAAATAAACCCAGCAATACCTAGAGTAATCATCAACGAGGACAAACACATAGTTTTTGCTTCCAAGACTAGTGATAGTGCAGGGACCAAATAAATCCATATGAATAAGTTCAAATGGTTTGGTTGTAGCAATATCAGGCTTTGTCTTAAATGATTTTCTAGAGTGTTTTCCAGCAGCACAAGCTCCACAAAAGAAATTGCCTCGTTCCTTTAGATTAGGAATTCCTCGGACCAGTTTAGCTTTAGACAAGGCAGCAAGTTTTTTTAAACTAAGATGACCCAGTTTTCTGTGCCAGGTTGCTTCCTGATAATCAGACTTGGATACTAAACATGATTCATTAAAAGCTTTCAGATCAAGCAAGTCAATAACATACATATTTCCAATACGATTACCTATAAACATAATTTTGTTATCACGGACACGTTCAACAAGACAATGAGAAGTTTCGAAAGTCACTTTGTTTCCACTACTACATAACTGGCTTATGGACAACAAGTTATGCTTAAGGCCATCTACAAGCATAACATCTTTAACAGTTGGCATAGGAGACAGGCTAATAGTTCCTTGTCCCACTACTCTGCCAGAGCTGTTGTCACCAAATACTACTTCACCACCTAATTCATAACTTAAAGTTGAGAAGACAATGAGAAGTTTCGAAAGTCACTTTGTTTCCACTACTACATAACTGGCTTATGGACAACAAGTTATGCTTAAGGCCATCTACAAGCATAACATCTTTAACAGTTGGCATAGGAGACAGGCTAATAGTTCCTTGTCCCACTACTCTGCCAGAGCTGTTGTCACCAAATACTACTTCACCACCTAATTCATAACTTAAAGTTGAGAAAAGATCCTCATTACCTGTCATGTGATGCGAACAGCCGCTGTCCAGATACCATTTACTTTCTGTTTCCTTGAGTTCGTGCCATGTATGCTTCATCAATATTTCCTTCATTTTCATCCTCAGTCTCATAGTCGCTCCAAGAGGCTGCCATTGCTCGTTCTTTTGCCTTCAATGTCAAAGGGCAATTTGCCCTAACGTGCCCCATCTTTCCACACTTGTAACACCCTTGAGGTTCACGATCAGCTACACCAGTCTGTTGATCTCTTCCCTGCGTAGCAAATCTCTCAAAAGATACATTTCTAAAGCTACCATTTAGCCTCTCTGAATCACCAGAACGATTAACTGGATCATTTTGACGATAATTTCCCTCAGACAATCTATTGCTTACATCAGGATACCGGCTTGATGACCCTGAAAATCTATTTCCAGAATTTTGAAACCGATTTTGTGACTCAAACCGACCTCTGTTTTCTACTGAGCGTTGTTTTTGATCATTTTTATATTTCATCATTCGATGAAATCTTTTACTGACCATAGCAAGCTCTTTTTCAAAATCGGCATCGATGTCATTTTCTGAATCATACTCATAAACTTTGCTTTTGAAAGCCAGACTCTTTCTGCGTCGTTCATCTTCCTTTCCCACCTGTTTAATCACATGTTCGTGACTCAGGAGGGATCCGATGAGTTCATCCACAGTCATAGTATTTAGGTTTCGAGCTTCCTCTATAGTTGTTCGTTTGGGCAGCCATTCCTTTGGTAAGGATCGAAGAAGCTTTCTGACCATGTCTTTAGAAGGAATTACTCGACCTAGACCTTTCAATTTGTTTATCAAGCCAGTAAATCGGGAATACATATCATGAATTCCTTCATTTGCTAGCATATCAAAGGTCTCGTATTCATGCATCAATAAGTCAATACGAGTTTCCCTGATGTTTGACGTACCTTCGTAGGTAGCTTCTAGAATACCCCAGATTTCTTGGGCAGTTTCGCACTGCTCCACCTTGTCGATCTCATCGGGTGAGATCGCAGTTTGCAGAATGTGCATGGCGCGACAGTTGAGCTGCGCGCTCCTCTTCTGCTCATCTGACCATTCGCTTTGTCGCTCAGGATCCATTTCAATTGGTCCATCCTTGACGATTAGCCACAGATCGACATCAATTCCCCACATGAAGGTTTTCATACGCTTCTTCCAGGCATTGTAGTTTGAGCCTGTGAACCATGGTGGGTTATGATGTGATGCAGGACCGAAAGCAGCAGGAGAATTCGTTCCCATAGATCGTTACCTTCGGCAGTAGCGAGCTTCTTCAAAGGAAGGCTCTGATACCACTTGATGTTCGATTCTAGGGTTAGGGATTTGGAGAGAATTGAGAGAAATGGGAATGAAAATGCGAAGAAGATAATTGACCCGAGCAAGTTTCAGTTCTTCTATTTCTGACTTTTTGGGCCGAGTAAGACTCGAGGCCCAACAGATTTAAATGAAGACTGGACCGGTTCGGGACTTAGACTCTTGACTTGGCTGCCTTAAAACTTCAACAAATGAAACAGAGAAGAAAGCAGAGTGAAGCAGTGAAGAACGAAAGCCAGAGTCAGAAGCAGGGACACAGCGATTTAACGAGGTTCACCAACAATGGCTACGTCCTCGTCCCGGTAATAGTCCACACTATTACCGAGAGACACTATATTATCTGATTTATAGACACGAGTACAAAGCATGAACAAAACACCAACCCAACAGAGTTCAATCCAAACTCTGTTAAACCCAGCCACTCTCACAGAACCTATACCTCTGGAGAAAACCTTCTTTTGCTCTCAACAACCTAGCCCTTTACCGCTATACTCGAGATTACAAAAGATGAATGAAATAGTCACAGCCGATCCAATATATACTGCTCCCTTGGCTAGCCGTTAGAAGAAAAGAGCCGTTGCTTGATTTACTCTGATTTGGCAGAGGATTACCAAAAATGCAGACTTTCCTTGAATGGCTAGCTCTGATCTTCGCCCAACATATCTAATAATTCAAAAGTAGGTCATAAATGTCTTATTTAAAAAGTGGGAACAGAACTGTCACTAACGCTGAACTTCAGGCCAAACTAGGGTATTAAACCTTTATTATATATCAAATACGCAAAGCTTATAGAAGTATCTTACCCCAAGTATTTTGTGAATTTTTTTATTTCAACTATAATTAGGTAATCACTGCGGAGCGCGGATCAAAAAACTAGTATAAATTAATCTTCCAATAAGAAAAACAATAACCCAATTGTCACTTTTTTAGTCTTATTTTTTCTGTTCTTGTTCTAGGCGACACTAGAATCTAAATTAGCGTAGTCTGCATCTTACTCAAGCTAATAACCTTCCGCTACGGGTCAGGGCGCCCCTCTGCAAAGTGCTAAATTCACAATCGCTCTGTAAGCCATAAACTTCTGCAAGTATAGATATCTTCAGACTGCGAGAAGAAAATGGTGCTTGCCCGCGTTGCAGAGTGCCACTTGAATCTTTCTATGCCTGCTTATTGCTGCAAACTTATGGATCTGACCGACTCAGCTTTCGTGTCAACTCGCACCTCTGGTAGAAGTAAGCATAGCAGCAGCAGGTAAAGAATCTTTTCGACTAGGGAAGTCGATGGGACCGGGACAGGTTACGTAATCACCATAGTAATCACCATAGTTACTAAGGGTAAATTGGGTACGAAAAAATAAATTGTATTAATTAATTTTTTTAATAAATTACAATTTAGTTAGTTACAAAAATCTATTAATTACGATTCTTTCTCTTTCTCTCACTTCCGTAATCTCCAGCCAGATTTCCTTTCCTTATTTTTCTCAATCTTTCTGCAAAAGAAAAAAAAAACGAAATCACTACCAATCCATTAGACAATCACTACCACTTTGAAAAAGATCAATACCATTGCAGAAATAAATCTATACCATTACACGAAAACTACCAATATAAACAATCTACCAATATTAATTTATACCATTTCAAAAAAATCAATACCATTGCAGATTTAATCAATACCAATACATGCAAATTAATACCATTACATGATAATCAATACCAATGCGACATAAACAATACCAATCCATAAAACACTGATACTTATTAACCAATACCAATACATGCAAACCAATACCAATACAATTACATCACTACCAAACAACAATACCATTGCGGGAAAAAAAAAATATTACTACTAAAAAATCACTACCAATGCAAACAAAATACATACCAATACAAACAAAAGCTACCTCTTTCCCAGCCGTAATGTTCATGAAAGGAATGGGCTACCAACAAAATGAAAATGAATTTGGGATTATTTATGATGGTGAGAGAGTAATTCGCAGTAGTAAATTAAATTACCTTTGAAGCTTTGGGGAAGGAGTAGTAGTAAATTCTCTCCTTTGGGAGCTCTGTCGCGATAGAACACCAACGTCTTCTTCATCCCGACGAGGCAACCTCTTCCCCGGAAGATCTCCTTGTCTTTTCCGGTGGCCTTCCAGTGGCTAGCCTCGGTGGCGCGATTCGTCCTCATCCCCGTAGGGTACTTCTTGTCCCTCTGGCAGAAGAAGTACCACCCTTTCTCCCTCATCCCCGCAAGGGCGGAGGAAATGGCAAGGGAGTGGAGGAGGTGGGCGGAGGAGAAAGAGTGGGAGCGGGTAGCCAGCAGTCGGCTGCCGTCGTTAAGGGTTCGGTTGGAGGGGATAATAGATTAGGGTTTGGGTAGAATATATAGAATAATCAGGTGTGAACTCTTTTTTGTTTCCAAAATTACCCTACAATAAAATTAACCGTGAGACTAAAAAAAGAGGAAAACAAGAAAAATGGACGGCAGATAGTGATGTAGCCACGGTGGCTACTAAAATTTTAGTTGCCACCCTAACGCATTCCCGATGGGACCCTTGATAGAAAGATTAGAACCTGATCTAACACTTCTCAAACTTTGCCATGAGCAAATTTCAGCCTACACCTAGCAGATCCGAGTTCTTCATACTCTGCCTTTGTGACGCAAGTTCCTTCAAACTCAGGACTTGATGCCAGAAATGATCCACCTCTCCATACACCTAATATGGGACTGCCAAAAAGAAAAATTTGCAGAGTCTGTTAACAAAGGCTAAAAACAGCATTAAGACGGGGCGATATTTAGGGATATGTGGAGGGAACAGAGCGGAAGGAGTTTGCTTACTCTTCTTGTGTTATTATCTTCAAGTGATAGTCCTCAGGAATAAGCGGCCTCAGCTCTAACTCGCTACCAATTTTAAGTCAACAACAGTTCAATAAGTAAAGATGCCATTGTATCATCTAACAAACTCAAAAGAGCACAAACGACTTACAGTCTCTCAGCAAATCGAGGGAACAATGTGCTTCCACCGGTTAAAATAATGCTGGACAAACAAACCAAACCCAAAGTTTGTTGGAGCAAAGTTCAGTAACAATACCACAGTAACACATAACGCTATATTCCAAAGCTTAAGAAATGAAATGACTTTCAGAAAAAAGAACCTCTCATAGAGAACAGGGTGAAGAAGAGAACTACAAGCATTGACTGCTCGAACTATGCATTCTGCAAGCCCAGCTTGATTCAAACCTGCAGTAGAAACGAAGAAAACATCAACCCCATAACTCCAAAATGCTGCATTTCAAATGGAAGATAAACCCCAAAATCAACACGAACCCAAATCCACTGGGTGGAACAGCATCTCCGGGACAAGGAATCGTTCATTCGTCAAGTCAAACTCCTGCACAGATCACGTCTTAGTTAAACAATCAGGGACAGAGAGAACTTTGAAAGTCCAAAGAAACTTTCACCTAAAGCTCACATTTTTGTTCAAATCGGACTTCTTCCTATCTTGAACCCTCTCCCCAGAATCACCATGATCCTCAATATTCTCCAAGCTTAACATTTTGTATCGCTCTGCCTCCTTCTCATCCTTAACAAAACCCTTTGTGTGTGTTACCCCATCAGGCAATACATAAGTACACCTCATCAGATTATCCTTCCCTCGCCTCCTGCAAATTGGGTTCTCAAACTCTTCAGCTAAAGTTCATAACTTCATCAGCCCAAATTGCTCTTCAGTCTCCATATGAAACAAAGCCAGGAAAAAAAAAATTCAAGTTTCAAAATGGTTACCTAGCAATCTGCAAATCGTGAGCAACATCATCTGAAACGAAGCAGAGCTTCTCCTTGACATCATCGATAATGAAGCTCTGGTCCATCACATTCACCGACCGGTAAGAAACCAGCTCCTTCAAGTAATTCGTCAATGCCTTCCCGCCAAGATCGATTCTCTTGGCAGCGTAGCTGAGGGCGACGTTCTGGTAGACTGGTGTGGCGTGGGTGAAGGAGAAGCCGCAATCGACGACGAGGCTACACTGGGCTGTGGCAGCCAAGCCGTGAGGTTGTCGATTAGCTTCATAGATGTGGACGAGCTTCGCCGGGTCGGCGACATGGAGCGATTTGAACCCGAAATCCTCGAAGACGAGCTCGTCGGCGGCGCGCTGAATCGAAGGGAGGGCGAATAAGGGTTCGGTCAAGAGGAGCGTGGAACTGGGAGGCGAGATTTTGAGGTGGGTGGAGAAGAGGTGGCTCCAGATGTCGCGCTGGAGGTCCGGGTTGATTAGGTATCCGCGGTCGATTGGGCGGCGGACGGCGGCGGAGGTTAGGTCTTCGGTGGCGGTGGAGGAGGGGAAGAGAGGGGAAGGGTGGATGAATTTTTTGGAGGAGAGCGGGCGGTAGAGGCAGTTGGGGATTACGGTGGTGGGATCGTCGTCGCCGGCGTGGCCGGCTTTTAGAAGGCCTCCGCCGTTGTCGAGGACGACGACGTTGGACATGGCCGGGGATTTGACTGATTTTCGATGCTGGGTTTTGTTTTGTCTAGTTTGGAAGGAAGAAGCGACGGCCGGCCAAATATTATGAAAACGACGGGGAAAGGAAAATTACAAAAGTAGTCATCGAAGAAAATTGCTTCACCGTCGTTGTAAGGAATTTCATATAAAAATGTCAAATTAGAACTGAGTCAGAATCTTATTGTTCTTCGTATTCGCACGATAAATCGAATTTTGAACCAGCTTGTATGTCGTCCTCTGATAAATACCAATTGATTTGTATACTAATTAGAACAAAAGTAATGTTTTTCTGATAGTTTCATGAGATGGAAACAACATTATTTTGTAAATTTGGTCTTTTCTAGGTTTTTTTCAGGACTGAAACGATGATCAAACCAATTTGTAGTTGATACGATTTGATATGGATGATATTATTTTAAATTTGTACAATTCCACGTAAGCTACTTTCAACTTTGTGGCTTGCATGATTTTAGGGTACGTATATTGTTAATAAGAATGTCTTCCTACTAAAGTGTGAGTGAATTCATAATCCACAGATTAATTAAGGCGAAATAGGTCACGAACTCATTCCTGACGATCTACGAATACAACCCTACTTTATGCACATTAGAGTTCAACTGATTCCACTTTATGACTCATCATAAATCAATTCATGACCTCTAAAACTGATTAAATGATAACATACATGAAAGTTCTCATTTATCTAAAGATGCAAAGATCTGAATCCCCAAAACACAAAGAATCATAAAATAAAAACACTGTAGCACCCCACAGGTCCAGAACTTAATATTCATCTATAACACCAACAATGGCGGAAAGCTCAAAAGAACGAAGGAAAAAAACCGTTCAATAGGGATGTGAGTAATTATAGAACCCACCAGGCTGCGGCATCCCATAAGGCATCATCACCATCGCCTGCTGTGAAGGATTATAAAAACCAGCACCATTACCATTCGCCATTGCAACTTGCCCGCCGTGAACACCACCATACTGCTGCCACGCCTGCTGCTCGTGCACGAACATCTGCTGCTTCGCCTGCATCTCCGCCATCTGCACGTACGACGGCGGAGGCACCGCCAGCGACGCTGCGAACGGGTCCTGACCTGCCACCACCTGCATCGTCCCGTCAGGTGCAGGCAGCGCCAGCATCGGCGCTGCCTGCATCATCCCACCAGGCAGCACCACGCTGCTAGCGCTCCCAGCACTAGCAGCGTTGGTCGAGGCCACATGCTGCTTCACCGCGCCCTGATCGTACATTCCATTCAGCGTCAGGGCGTCGAGCCCGCCTGCCATCGTAGCCTTCTGCTTGTTCAGGTTGCTAGTCGACTCCACCAGAGCCAGTTCCCAATCCGCCCTGCCTCTCTCCGCCGCAGGATTCTGCCATCCTGATGTTACTGTCTCCCCCGCCTCGCCATTCGTAGAAGGGAATTCTTCCCACAATGCCAATGCGAATTTGTTCCCCTCTCCTTCCGCGGTGACACCATCATCTCTCAGGTTCACCAAATCCTCTGTAGCCACCACGGCCACAACCTGTGGCGCAACCTGCGCCACAGGTTGTTGCTGCTGCTTCGGCTCAGGTGTTGGCGGGGGAGTACTGGTACAGCTCTCAGGAGCAGGCAGAGCCTTGATCGTGTTCATATCAAGCTCCACCGCTTCATCACCCGGAGCTACGACCTCTTTCGTCGCAGGCGGCGCCTTCTTCAGGAACCCTTCTAAAGTTCCGAGCAGATTGTCAGTAATCCTCTGCACATCAGGATACTCCGAAGACCTCGCGACCCCAACATCCTTACACCATCCGTAGAACCCAATCAGCTCGTCGATCATCTTCCCCGCGCTAACATACACATCGAACGCCTTCACCGTGTGGGCGTACTCCATCTCCGCGAATCGATCGAGCAGGACGGTCAGGACTTCGACTATCTCCATGTACAGAGCAAAGCTCTCTTTAACCACCTGCTGAAACGCCACCAGCACCAACCTGTTGGTCCTCGCCATTCCTGCAGGCCTGCAGGCCAGAATCCTGTCCAGAACTCTCAGCAGCTGGCTCGATTTCCCCAAAACGCCGTCCGTCGCCATCTCCTTGATCGGAGCCAGATCCTTCGGTTTCCTAATCAATTGATTGGGGGATTCATCTTCCCCGCGGCCGTTGCTGTGATTCGACCACCTCCGCTTCCCCAATTCGTCCTCCCTCTCGTCAAATCGCCTCTGATTCTCCGACCTCCAGTTCCTGTCAAACCCTAGCTCCTCATCTTTCTCGTCGAACCTCCTCCCGAACTCGCAATTGGCGGCCTCCTCGTCGCCGCGGCGGCCCTTCTCGCCGCTGGCTCGCCACTTCTTCTCGAAAGCCGAGCTGCCGACCTTCTCGTCGAGGTACATGGCGTAGAACCGGACGAAGCCGGCGTGGTCCCACGAGTTGGAGCTCGCCTCGGCGCGGAAGTCGGACATGTTGAGGATCCGCATCCCGCTGCGGGCGGCGTAGAGGATCTCATCCTCGAAGGAAGGGTGGCCGTCGGCGAGGAGGCGGTGGACGAGCATCAGCGACTTGAGCGCCACCATCCAGTCGTGCGTCTTGCTCAGCCGCTTCGAGACGGTGGCGACGCACGCGCTCATGTAGCCGCGTGAGGAGGAAGTGAGTGAGAGGATCTCTCTGTAGTACTTCTCGTCGGTCGGCTCCTCGCCGTGGCTCGTCGCCTTCACGACGAGGACCTCCAGCTCCGGCGAAATTGTCCCCGCCACTTTCGCCAGGCCGATGGTGGTGTGGTCCTTCACCGCCCCGATCGCCTTTCTGAACGTACTCGGCGCCATTTTTTTCTCTCCCAAAAAAAAATTCACCAGTCCTCTGCTACTCTCCTTCTTGTCGGGAAACTCTAATTCGCTTGACCTAGAATCAGAACCAGGTGGAAAATCTAAGGTGAGAAGCGGAATTGAGTTATGGAGAGGAGAATGCGGTGGGATTTGGAAGTTGGAACCTGTCTTGTTCGCCGGCGGAGAAACGGAATGATTCGGACGGCGATCTAGGCGGAAGGGAAAATCGGGTGACTGACTGTGAGATGGATGAATGACGGAGGCGGCGGCCTGATGATCGGAGAGGGCGGCGTCCTGATGATCGGAGAGAGCGGCGGGCGGCGGGGGAAGATTTTTGAGAATCCAAAGGACTGGATTTCAGGAGTGTGAGTGAAGAAGGAGTCCGTTTCTGATGAAGACGAGATTTTCTGAATTTTCAGTTTTTTTTCATTTCCAAATTTTTGGGGTTTTTGGATTTTCATTAATTGTACGCGTTAAATATTTCTGTCTGGTATTACGCGGCCGAATGGAGAGAGAAAGTGACGGCGGTAACTCCTATGTTTCCTGTTAACGGCGTGTGCTTCTTTTCTTGTTAACAAGACTGCGAATATGCCGTTACCGTTATGGTTGCTTGAAGAGTGTTGGTCTATGTACATTGTTCGTGAATTATGCATTGAATATGTCTTTGGTTTTTTGGAGGATATGCATATTAGAACAATGTAAAATTTCATGAATTTTCTTTTCTTGAGATATAACAGAAGAGAATCCTTAGGTACATCATATATTCAACTTCTATAACAAAAAATCTAGTAATTCACAAGACAAAGTCAATTAGTACAAGTTATAATAAATTACCAATGACTGCATTTTTGTGGTCTGAAAATTATAAAATTTATCGATGTCTACCAGGTTAGTAAATCTTATTCAATGCTATACATGTCAATGACTCGCAAACTTTTGCCTCTTTTGATAAATTGTTCTCGATGTAGTCCATGCCTAAAATTTCTTTCAACACTTGTAATTGCAACAGATAAAATCAAAACAAATTTTAAAAAGCAAATGGACCGATGAAAATAATAAACTTATTTTTGTCCTCACAGTCAAATGAGCTAATTCGTAGATTCCTTTTAAGCTAAGGAACTTCTCGGCTTTCTCAACGCAATGGTATTAAGTCACGAAGGCCCATAAGACTAGACTGGAGGGGGGCTCATAGATATAAAGAAGAGGGAGTGACATCGAGTCGAGTAGACTGTTACTTTTTTTTCGTGTGTTCCGAGGAGAAGAGACGAACCACAAATAGAAATTGATTTCAATTTTAGAATTTTGATAAAATTAAAAAATTTAGTTGGAATACATTTAAAGTAAAAATACATTATGTATCATAGTTAACGAAAACGAGCTTTTGGTGTAACGGATAACATCATCTTTGTTATAATTGTTACAAGATCAAGGGTTCAATATTAAGAAACAACCATTTTTGTCTCCCACAAATCAGAAGTTACAACTCAATGGTCGATAATTTTCCTCCAAACTTTAGGACACCCCTAAACATCCATGGGTTCGCCCTTGAGTACACTCTATACTGACACCAAAACCACTTGGTGATAAAATAAATGTATAACCCACTATCTACTGACAAATGGTCCTAAGGAGAGTCAACAAGCAACACTACGAACCCCGAAAACATAGTAGATCTCCAACTAGAATTTAAGCAATACACCTCAGTTTGGAAATACCCAATTAGACCCATTAAATCCTATACTTAGCATAGGCTAAGTAACATATATCTTAAATTCTTAATCCATTTTTTTTTTTTTTTACAAAAGTTAAAGATTAGAACAAGATATCATTACATCCTGGAATTCAACCAGGCTAGAAAATCAAAGAAGCGATATATAGTCGGCTAGAAAGAGAGGACTTTTCTAGCCAGCAAATGGACTACCCTATTACTACTCCGTCCTACAAAACGCACATTAATCCGACTGTGATTCGCCAAATAGCGTCGGACCTCCTCCAGAATGACTCCTATCCGATTATCACGGGTGTCACCCTGAAGATGGGGGAAAAGATGGGACAAAGAAGATATATCTTAATCCATTCAAAATAGAAGATGGGACAATTGTGCATTACAAACATGAAACCACTATCTATGGGCTCAAACTTGGGTATCATAACCACTCAACCAATTCTATATTGGGTATGTTTATGCATTTGAGAAGTTTTGCTGTATTGGACTTTTTCCTCTAAAGAAGTTGCAAGAAAAATGCACCAACAAATTCCCATGCTTATTAATGGTCTCCATGGACTTGATGTATAAAACAATTCATCGCATAAATTGGTGATGTATTTCTTCGGAACAGAGAATAATATTCCGTCTCATCCACTTATTATTTATTAGAAAATAAAAAATAAAAAACTTACATTCCGATTTTTGAAATAAGTCATATGCTTGGATTTGGAAGAGGATTTTTTTTTGTTTATATGCTACATAGTATGGTATCCTGTATGTTAAATACTAGCTCATATTAAGAATGAAACTTTACAATAAACGATGTAATAGTATTTCGAATTTACAACTTTGTTAATAATTAAAAAAAAATCACTAGTAACCTTCCCCCAAAATTTTCGCGGTTTGGATTGAGAGGAGGATAACAAAATTGTGAAACCAGAGTGATGATACAAGAGAGTGAAACAGGGGAGGAATGGGAGCCCAAGGAAAGTCCATTTCTCAACACGGATCTCTTTTGACTAACGTCGTCAGAAACGCCGTTAACCGCCAAGCCAACAGTTACCTTTTTCCCGCGAATGTGCCTTTCATTAGTAACCTTCCCCCAAATTACGCGGTCTCACAGTTTTCAATCTGAAATCTCATTTCCTGAATCTCCCCGAGTCCACCCACTGATCCAACTCAGCCCTAAATCCTCCTCCACCGATGTTCATCCTCCGAGTTCACTCCGTTGACGCCAACCACCCTCTCGATCTCGAGGAGACCGCCTTCTCCGTCGTCTCCTCCACCGCCAGTGAGACTATCCCTAGCCGGAACCCTAACTATAATGAAAGGAGAGGCGTTGTACACCTGTACCGGAGCGTGTCGCAGAGTTCGCTCCCGAACCCTAGCTCTCGCTCCACTTCCCTCTTCGTCGTCGCCGTCCCCAACTACTTGTCGCCCGATGGCTTCGTCCGGTTCTGCGAGACCCACATCGACAATGTCCTCGAGCTCGTCTTCATCAGGTACGACAAACTTGTATCGCCGATCCGTGAGCTCGATTTCGGGTTACTTAAATTCGTTATTTGGAACTGTAGAAATGATGGGATGGAAGATCGGTATAGCGTGTTGATCAAGCTTGATTCCCAATTGGCTGCCGATAGATTCTACAATTACTTCAATGGGAGACGATTCTCTCCTGCGGAGGTAAATTGAGCTTATGTGCAGTTTCGGATTTGGGTATTCCAAATTTGTTATCTTTTTCAGCTTTGGTTTGATCCTTCGAATTCTTGTGCTGAGAATTCTGATGATAAATGCAGGCAGAGGTATGCCACATCTTGTTCCTACTCTCGGTGGATTACACCGATTCGGCTGAGGTTGCCAGCACACCTCCGGCAGGGTTTGCGGCATTGCCTACTTGTCCAATATGCCTAGGTTAGTCGTTTGGGTGTTCTTTAGAAGCATAGGTTCGAGGGGTAGCTTTCAAGTTCTGTTCTTTATTTTGTTGTTTTGGACTGCAGAGAGATTGGATCCTGACACTAGTGGAATACTCAGTACTCTTTGTGATCATTCATTTCAATGTTCATGCACTTCAAAGTGGACATATTTGTCTTGCCAGGTGAAAAGTTTGTCTTGTTTCTTCTGTGTGTTTGAAGAATATGGATTCATTTGCTTTTCGGGTTTAATTGACTCCATATTCTCTCAGGTGTGTAGATATTGTCAGCAGGAGGATGAGAAACCGACTTGTGCTGTTTGTGACACATTGGAAAATCTCTGGGCATGTCTGCTATGTGGCTTTGTGGGTTGTGGAAGGTAATAGGTCCTTCGATTTCTGATTATCGATTTAATGTCTATCGTTACCCGGGCCATTATAGATTTGGCTGTCCGTTTAGGTATAAAGAAGGGCATGCGGTAAGGCATTGGAAATGCACAGAGCACCAATACTCTCTTGATTTAAGAACTCAACAAATATGGGACTATGTTGGTGACAATTATGTCCATCGCCTGAACCAGTCGAAAGTGTATGATAAGTCTGCTGATGTGAACTCTAACTGTACATACATGGAAGGAGATTGTGGCACCTGTGAGTGTAGTAATGACGATGCTGGGTTTGATGGGGCTCTCTACAGTAGCAAAGTTGAAGCAGTGAGTTCTCTTTTTTGTATACATGAAGCTTTTCATTCCAATTACAAACTAGGGCTAGACTTCATCTGTTGGTTTTGCGCACTTCATTGCAGATAGTGGATGAGTACAACCGTCTTCTCGCAACACAGCTGGAGACTCAAAGACAGGTGAGTATTTATTAGTTTCCATCTCCCAAAACACCGATGTTTTTCACTTCTTGTGTTATTGTTCCCAATTACCCCTATATCCACTCATGGAGAGGAATAGTTAGGCATGGGTTAAGTCGGAAGGTTTCTCCAGAGTTGCTACAACCAAGTATCCACACATCTTATGGTATTTGGCTCTTTCTCCATCCACTTGCAGTACTACGAATCATTAATAGCAGAAGCCAAAAGTAGGCAGGAAACCTCGATCTCAGAAGCAGTGGAGGAAGCTGTGAGTTCAACAATGCAGGAGCTCCAGAATAAGCTGGAACAATGTGAACATGAAAAGAAAGCAGTGGCAGAAGTAAGTCTCTCGAATGACTACTCAACAGATTTTGGGGCTCGGTCTTCACAGAATGGAAGGGTTATGTTTTTGTCTTTATTTCCTAGGTCAATCAAGGTCTCATAAAGGATGAAGACACTTGGCGTAAGAAGGCCAAAGAAATTGAAGCTAGGTACAGTTTCTGCAAGTTTGTTTTGGGTTTGTAAGCGCATCCAGAATCCAATGCTAATTCAATTTTCCTCTTCTGCATTCTTCAGGCAGTCTTCATCTTTAAGGTCCAAGGATGAGATGATACTTGATCTAGAAGAACAGGTACTACTGCTAGCTAGCTACCACCACCGACAGTGAATTATTTTCATTTCTTTTGGAGTTATTTTAATAGTTGGCAAAACTGCATTCTGCAGATTCGAGATCTTACAGTTTACCTCGAAGCCCAGAAGACGCTAAACAAGATGACAGATCCTAGTGATATCCGCGAAGGGACATTATTACCTGTACCTTTAAAGCAGTCCTCCCCAGCCAAAGCCAAGAGGAATGCCAAGTCAAATAGAAGACGAAATTAAATACTGTACAAATTTTAACCAATCCTGTACAGAGATTACTGCTTTTTGCATGCTTGAATTGTGTGCACACTGCACAGTAGTTGCCTTCAGAAAGAAGAATTATCTGCGTTTTTGTCACCTCAACTTCTCATTGTACAACCATTTAACCAACTGAGGTGGAGAACCAATGAACTACTTTCTTATGGGACTTATCCTCAACAAGTATTTGTTGATTTGTTTCTGGCCAATGCTATAGGATGTATATTCACAATCATGTGTGCTCGCAGAGTTCGTACTAATGACAGGGATTTGTTCTTGCTCATTGATACCTTCACTTGAACATAATATGAGGCGTTCTTTACAGGCTTATAGCACCTACAATCAGGTTAATGCTTCCAGTTTTATACCATGACCGATTTCGGTTAGACTTGGAACTTGGAAGTACAATTGTGCTAACATCGACGTTGCATTACAACTCCAAATAGTAGCTCAGGAACAACAAAATTTCACTGTGCTTACAACTAATGACACAATGTGAGTAAGCATGAAGAGATGAAATAGACAAACAGCCCAGATTATGCCTTAACAGGAACAAAGTCAAAATAAAAGAAATCTATTATCATGAAGACCTCAAACCCTGGTTCTTGTCTTGATGCATTCTTTGACTATCTAATTTACACCACAAATCTGTCTAGAGGTTTCTTCAATCATATGTATATTTATGTCAAAAAAAAAATTAAATAAATAAAAAGAGGATAGCCCCAAATGCATCAAGACCACATTAGTCTTCTCTTATGTGATGAGAGGAGCTTTCAAAACTCTTCTTCCAGGTTGGGGTTGAGAGTTGAGTTGAGCCACAAATTACACTAAGGAAACCCTATAGATAAGTACCCTAAACATTTTCCACAGCTTTCCCTTGAAAAATCAAACTGTGAGGCCAGAACGAGTGGCGTTGCATCATCTAAAGGTGTCATCTTTGAGCTTGTTGTTCTGAACCGGCGGCACCGGAAGTGCTCGGTGCTCCTCCGGCACCGTTCTCAGCCGGTGGCGCGGTGCCCCATTTCCCTTCTGATTCCAGGGGTTCTAGCACATGGACCGCACCGTCTGTTAGTCCCAAAGCAAACTGGTTGGCTTCCGATGGATGTGCAGCGATCACCAAAGGATAGACCCTCAAGCTGATGAAAACATTCAGACGTGTCAAAAGACTAAACCGAGGGAGGGCAATAGTGTTTTGCTCAACAGAGAAGAGGAACAGACCTTGGATTTGGAGGTAGATACGCTGCGGAACTAATCCTGCACCTAAGTCTGAGTGCTGGAGCCGTAAGAACACCCACACTTCCATCTTCGAAGCTGACGTATATGGACTGGCTATCGCATGAGTATGTTGCATGTGTGATGGGATTTGCGTCACGAGGGAACCACTACATAAAGGAACAGTTTATCATCAGCCTCTGATTTCTGGAGCCATCAATCACTACAAACGCACAGCTTGAAAGAAACCAGTTTCGTCCAGTTACCTGCTTCAAACAATCAAGTTTTGGTGCTTCGTAAAGTGCTATCTGTGATTCGTGAACGGCGAGCAGATGTGTCTGGTCTACATGAAACTGTACCCGGGTATCCGAAACAGCGGAGGTGGGGCGCCCGGGAGGGATTTGCAGGAATTTACTAACCTGCCTGTCCCATCCATCCGTGTTCCACACACATAACTGTAGCCAGGGAAAAGAATATTAGTAAAATCACTCTAATTAAGAATCGAGAACTTGATACATATGAGGGTTGTGATCTAACCTGAGAGTCTGCTCCAGAAGATATGAGCACATTCAGGGTGTTGGAGAAAGCGAGACCCGTAATTCTTTTCTGATGACCTTTCAACTTAGTTTTAACCTCATCAACCCTGACATTGTAGATCTGGATTGAAGAATCCTCCATCCCAATAGCGATTATGTTATTGTCTTGAGGATGGAATGCCAGGAAAGTTGCAGCCGGTGGTGGGGGCATGAATGTTGTCATTGTCTGCAAACCATACGACGAAATGAGAAAAGAGTATAAGGAATAACCAACTGCTGTGGACCAATGCAAAAGGGAGAAGCTTCTACCTTGAATGTCATCATATTGAAAAGAGAGATCTTTCCTCCTGAAGCTGACATAACATAAGAATCATTCTTAGAAAGAGCAAAGCATGGGACAGCCTCTTCAGGGTTTGTATCACTTATATCATTCGTCATCAATATTCCACTAGATGGTTGCCACAATTGTGGAGCGAGGCTAGCAGTGGCCTGCAGAGGGGGAAAATCCCATAGTTATAACATCGAGGAAATGAACAGAAAATGGAAGGGAAAACTTGGAAAACAAGAGTTACCTTCCCAGTAACGTTTCTATCATTTCTCTGCCATTTCCAGAGCTTATGAACAGCATTAGATGCTAATGCTAATATGGCCATTCCAGAATTTGTATACATTAACCTGGCCACCTGAAACAATTCCCAGTACATGGTAAATTACGATGGTATCAAATAGTTACTCTTACTAGGTTAACCCACAGATCTAAGTTCTAGTTGAATGACATGATAAACCAACTTTCAAGCAAGAAGTTATCAGTACAGATCTCTTCGACGTAAGAACAGGAGCGTCTTAAGTCTGAAATGGTGTGGCCTACTCAGAACAAAGAGAACAACATCACAAAAATGATGAGAGCAGCATACCCTCATTGCAGTTAAATTATCAGGAAGCCTCAGAGAACGACACTGCGATTGCTCATTAATTTCTGCTGCTTTCCAGATCCTGGACTTCTCCATGGGTTCTTCAGTAATCCTAGGTTTAACATCAGCCAAAGCTCGGCTATCATTAATCTGCTGCACAAGACAAGAACGAAATGTAGGGTTCAGCTAATCTGATGCAGAGTTGTAAATAATCTTCATTTAATAAATGATATGGATATGTTACAAATCAAATGGAAGTTTAATTGAGATTGCACATAAACTCAGAAACGGACCAATCCAACCATGGGTGGCAAAGGAGCAGCTGGATTTCCAATGCTAGTGCCCGGATTCGGATTGGCAGCAGCAAAATTTGGTATTGAAGGGGCCTGTATGTGTAACGATTTTGTCAGCCTCGGAAAAAAGAATGGAATGTAATCGGCATTTTCCAAGCTGAGAAGCCACTCTCACCTTGACAACAGCTGCAGAAGCGGCTCTGGAAGCATCAAATGTGCGATTTTCCACGGTCTTTAGCAGCCTAATTCCATCAGAATTTGCTAGGACTTTAATGCTATTGTCACTAGTCGAGACAGCCATGAGAATTCCTTCTTTATTGAATCTTATACAAGGAGAAGCCTGCAAGCAGGTTTATTGGAAAAGGATTGTAAACAAAGAAAAGAAAAGCAAGAAAAAAGCCTTAGAGTGCATATCAAAACATACCGGCAGTCCACCATCCGCATCTATACTTGTCAATAAACTGACATTGTCCATGTCCCAGAATTTGACCATGAATTCATCACCAGCAGCCAAGAACCGATTCTTAGTAGTATCAAATTGCACAACTCCAACTGACCGCTTTCCAAGACCATTATACCTACGCTTTACCGCACCTTCACTTTCATTCCACTCAACCAAATGAGATTCTCCCTCCTTGTTTGTCCCACAAGAGAACAATCTACTTGCCATCCAACAATAGCAGAATATTAGGTGACCCATTAAAGATGACAAGAAACCAAGACAGCAAACAAAGTACGCTAACCAACAACCAGCAATCACAAATAACTCTACAATCATAAGTCAAAGAATCAACGAAAAATTATATATGACAGAGGACAAATAGAAAACCTTGTTCCATCAGCGCTATATGCCATTGTGGTTGATGAATGTCCTGGAGCATCATAATCAACTCTCGAACCCATGGTATCATACAACCATGCTTTAATCTTTCCATCAGTTGCAGTTGAGAATATAAACTGGGAAAATAAAAAAGTAAGGAAAGGAAGAGCTCTGTAACTAGAAAATCCTCAAATTCAAAAAGCCAATCTCGATGAATGATATAAAACCATAAATCTGGGAACTAGAAATCAAGCTAACCATTGTTTGCTTGACATTACCTGGATATTTTCTTTGTGATGTGGGCACACAGAGTAAACAGGTGCTTCATGACCCTCAAAAGTGAACTGCTTATTGCCAGTAGCTGCATCCCACACCTGTATAGATCAGGGCATTAAATATGCCCCCTTGGTCTCGCCAACTTTATCAGAAACAACTATGTAGTCGTGCAAACCTTAATCACTCTGTCTTCTCCGCAAGTGACTACACACAGTTGCTTGTTGGGATAGGAGAAAGCAAGGTCATTTACACTTCCAACGTGGGCCTCAATCTATGTAAACGAGGCAGTATTTCAGATTCCAGTCACACACAAAAAAAACAAGGTGCAAATGAAAATAGCAAGATTAAACCATGAATGATGAACAGATTATAATATGTACGAGGAACAATAAGAATTTTTCATCAGTATCTGGGAAGCACAAACCTCAAGGTGGTTCTTTATATCATCCCCACCATGGTATGAATAGATGTGAACTATGTGCTTAGAGTAAGCAATACCTGTAATTAACACCCACCATGTTAAGTTTCCTCTTTATAAGAGCACAAAATTAGATTCTCAGAAGAGGAAATGTTATATACCGAATAGACTTCCATCTGGACTCCACATGACACGGTTCACTGATGCTGTATAATCATTAGCAAGAGATGCCTACAAAAAAAACAGACAATTAATCACAAGTTGGTCTGAGAAGCATCGTGTTCATTTGCTTAGGGTTAAAACACAAACCTGTAACCCCATCGAACATGCTCCAAGGTCCCAAACCTTGAAATTCTTTAAAGCAATCCTTTCACGACTACCCAGCTCCCATACCATGACATCACCCATGTTGGTGCCAACTAAAAAGACAGAAGCACTTAGCTATGCAAATCCCTAAAGGCGCTGAATAAGCAAACAATACATGAAGCAAAGAGAATCAATCATCTCAAACATCATAGTAAGAAATGATTCAGAAACTACATGCCATTATGAGAGCCTGAAAATCATTCTTTCCATCAAAGACATGAAATATAACTGCCAAAAGCAGCCCAGATGGAACAGGGTTCAGCACCCAACTACACAAATTTTGTTTCACCTCCAAAAATTCACAACTGAAGTTCAGACTTGTCCATACAGAAGCTTACCCAGAAGTAAAATCTGCTGCAATGGATGGAAGTCCATACTCTTCACTGCCGAGCCTTGATTCAAAGCCATAACAAAGTTCTTAGGTAGATCATCAGATGAGTAGGAACTCTGCCCATGGCTGTGGCCAGCATATGCAACAGGGAGAATATTTACAGGCAGATTATTAACCTGATAGAATAGAAAAATAGCAACAAGATTAGAGCACTCCATGACTTGAAACAAAGATAGGAGCTCAGTTTTCAGGGGATGGGGAAAACATGGCATGCACATACATCTCAAACCCAACTTATAGAATCAGAACCCACAGCAAACTTTGCACTTGTTAACTATAAATAAATGAATAAGAGTCATCCACATGGAAGACTTCAGTGAGAAGCAGAACCAATTGTCAAGCAGGTGCCTTCTACTGCAAATACGACCAGTAGCCCATCATTTTAGTGTAAGATCTTAATAAAATGGTATAATCTCAAATACCTCTTCAGATATTCCAAATGGTCTAGTTCTTTTCAAAACATGTTCAGAGTCAGCTGTTTGATAATCCATGGCCGGGTTGTTGGTTGGAGGAGTCCTTGGCCGCTTCAATATAGCCGCTGTTGTAAGGCATACATAAATACAATATAAGCATGTTAACACAAATTAAATGCTCTACGTATAATGGTAGTTAAACAAAAGAAAGTTAGTGAACTTCAAGTGCCATCTTATTGATTGACTGGTGCTCCTTTAAGTTAAGAGCAGCAATTTGCTGTCATGATAAGATGTGGATTGCATCATTGTATCCCAGTCTAGATTGCTACAAGTTTGGCAAGACCAGTGAATTATGCATTAAGTAGATGGAGGCAAACCTAAAGCACCCAGACCTACCTGCATTATTAGGTGCAGCCAAGCCAATCGGTCCAGCAGAAGCTGATGGATGAGGGACAGGAGATGGGTTTGACATCCAACCAGCAAGAGATGTTTGCAAAGTAGGAGGTGCAGGCTGGAATGGCTGCGAACAAGCAAACTGTGTCAAAGTCTTGGAACCACCTCAGGAGTAGAGAAAACACAATTCACTACACTTACACCATGAGCATTTAGCGGAGGAAAGCCTCCTGGCTTTGGCACAGCACCCATCAAGGGATTGGTTACAGGGGATGGGGCTCGAGCGCCATTTGGCTGCCCACCACAGCTGTGGTCCACGAATAAGGTCTTTATATCAGGATTAGGCCTTGGATTCTTACACAGCTGATGTTGCCAATTTAAACTGCACTCCATGATAAAATATAAGTAAACAAAATCAAAAGGAATCAGCAATGTGCATCAAGGAAAAAGGGGGAACAAGTTTTTAAGGACCTTTGATTAATTAGAGTCCGCAATCTTGAATTTTTCAAGGTCGGAAACTGAAGCTTGTCTCGGAACAAAGGATTAGCCTCTATTAACTTCTTCAGTTCACCAAGCATTATGTTTCTAGCAGATTTTGTATCTCCATACTTGGACAGCTGTTCATTTTCTCTGCAAATGAAGGTTATAGACAGCATCCTAGGTGAGAGAGCCACGGCACACACATACTTCACAATAGTTCATCAAACGAGAATGGTACCGCAAAACACGTAAGCAGCAAGGCACACACACCTAAAGTTTTCCAATGTCAACAGCTGTGTAATTTCCTTAAACAGCTCCTCATTAAATGCTGCAAACACTTTTAAGTCCTTGACCAAAATCTCCACAGCTTTGGCACGATCACGCCTACAGTATTCAGCATATGAAACAACAGGCAGTGGTCACCGAGTGTATAAACTTGACCATCAAGAATTTGAGCAATCCAACATGAGGGGAAACATTGAGCACCAAAATGCATGATCTTCAAATTCAAACATTCATAAACAGACATACTTGTCCAAAGCCTCGAGATACTTCTGCTTTCGGATCTCAAAGAAAATCTTCATGGAATATCTGTTATCGTCAACCTTGGTGAACCCTGATAAATATTTCTCCACCTCCTCCCACTCTCCATTCGTCACCATTTCCTCGAAATAGCGCATGTTGAAGTAAAACCCTGACTCCTGCTCCAACCTAAACACGCGCATATACAAAATCAAACCCAGTTCCCACACAAAACCCTCAAATTCACACCGTGCCCCCCACCATATAAAGCTTCAGCCGCCAACACATTCATAAAACTACAACCCAACACAATGCCCGCAGTGGCAACCAGAAAAAAAGCAAAAAAATCAGACTTACTTGTGCACAGTCTCCTTGAATTTCTCTTCATCCAGAAATTGAAGTATGAGGAACACAAGCTCCCTGCTTAGCGACGACATAATTCCTCCCGCTCAACCTGCCCACACAATTCAACCAATTATCCCCCACCCTCACTCGGAGATCTAAAACCCTCGCAGATAAAGAAAAAAACACACACACTCCACCTAACAACCAGACAAACAAATACAATTCCAATAACCGCAACCAGTGAGAGAATGAGACACAACGGGAAGCGAAGAAGAAGAAAAACAACAAAGCTTCAGTCTCTCCTCCGAAATTTTCGAGCGCCGAGTTCTCCGGCGAGAGAAATGATTGCGGGGGCTTTTACCTGAGCAAGCAGATCGGAGAATTTCGAATACGGACAACGAGAGGGCCGCCGTTCCCCAGTCCCTCTCTTCCCTCTTCCAGAAATCTTCTCTCCCCCTGTGCTTTCTCTCTCTCTCTCTCTCTCTCTCTCTCTCTCCTTCCTCTAGTTCCTCTTCTTCTTCTTCTCTATTTCCTCTGCAAGTTTCTCTCTCTTCTTCCTTCTCTCTAGCATCATCTCCTGGCGAGTATTTATAGACAGGGAGCTGTGTTTAGGGATTTGGGGGAGAGAGAGAAAAAGAGGCCACCGGACAAATTAAAATCCCGTGAGACGAGACGAGATGCGGTTTGCCATGATATGATAAGCTAACTTTCCTAGAGGTGATAAGCAGAATGGCTTATCGGGGTGGGGCGAGTGATAAGCAGGAGTGGGTGTAGGCGTTATCAACAAGTCTTATTTCCATATTTCTCTTGTTTAAAAAGGAAAAGGAAAAAGGAAAAAAATATGAACTCATAATAAGTCATATCCGGCTAGATTTGCGGACTTTTGGCATTATAATTAGTGTTTGATTCTTCTTTCTTTATTTTTGTGTGGGAAAAGGAAAGGTTGAAGTAGTATTTGGGGAGAAACTACAGAAAGTGTTTGAGAATAATACGTTGATAAAAATAAATGATTACTTGATCGTAATATGATATGGTAAAAGGATGATGGAGAAGTTCGATTGATATTAAACAAAAGAATAATACGTTGATAAAAAGAAATGATTGCTTGATCGTAACACGATATGGTAAATTAAAGGTTGATCGAGAAGTTCGATCGAGGTTAAACAAAAGAATGGTACGTTAATAAAGATAAATGCTTAATTGATCGTAACACGATTGGTAGATTAAAAGTTGATAAAGAAGTTCGATCGATGTTCATTTAATTTATTTTCAGGTATAAAAATTGATTTCATTTCGATGAGGAAAACTCATAGCGATAAATAATTTTGGCGCAAAACATGTATGTATTGCATGAATCAATATGGGTTGTGATCTTTTTTTTTATGGTCATTAATGTTTTCCTTCATCAGTATTCTATTTGCGTGGTTCCCATCAGCAAAATGAGACATATTTGCCATTATTTGATATAAAAAAAATTAGGCTTAAAATAATTCATATTTGGCAGTTACCATAAATTAGGTCCGTCAGATACATCTACTGTTTTCAGTCTATGTTTTTACTTTTTATGGAGCAATCTTAGTCATAAATTGAAATTGTATTTTCTTATAATATATCAAGTTTATTTTAGTGACATAATAGTGTTTACCACTAAAAAATTTACTCAATACCACATTGAGTATTTTCAAGGAGTGGTAGTGATTTATAAGGCCAACTTAACCATGTTAATTAAATTGGTTTAAACTGGGCCTAAATGATGGTATTTTGGTCTTCACACCAGGTACCTCAACACACACCACTCGACCCACAAAACACCCACCCATCACGCAAGGGGGTCAAGTGCTAAGCGTTGACACCCTTCAAACATCAACCACCCAAGTCGTGGAGACCAAACCACAAGGGGGGTCATCGCGAGTACCCCTAGCCGTGAAGCCTTCACTCACCAAACAAGACACCTCCATGGCACAAGGGGTTAGCTATCAAGTGGCAAGCACGCAAGACAGTCACGGCGTCAAGCAAGTTACATCAAACACCAAGCAGTGGAGCAGCGATTATCAAGAGGCGGTTGCACAACGGTTACAAGGGATGGCTATAAATAGGAGAAACGAAAACGAAGCAAGGGTTCCAGAACGAACCATTTGACACACTATGTCAAACTTTATCTTTTTCTCTGCAAATTAGCCATAGCCTTAGTTTTCGGAGCTCTCACTGAACCTCCATAGGAGTAGGTATAATTAACTTAGCTTGTTCCCAAAAGACCATCAAAAACATCAAACACCCTCATTCGAACATTGTTCGGAGAGGAGTGAACCGTGTTGATGGTCGTTGTTCAAGAAGTCAAAGGTGCATTCATTGTGTTCAAACACCAGATTTTCCTCGCCGGAAAACAAATAGTATTATTTAGTCACCATGATATATCCATTAAAATCGGTGTTGTTATCAATCAGAGTTTTCCATTAGCATGTGCTAATTTGTTCTATGGCACAAGGGGGCTTCAATTTAAAGAAGAAATTACATGAAAGGTCGAGGCTTGAAGTTCCTTGAAATTTATAATTTGATCTATATAATGTACACCGAACATATAAATATTTAATCTATCTTTAATCGGTTGATAAGCATATAAATGTTTATTTGGCCATGGCTCGAATCTTGTTCATTGAATTATTTATTTCTATAATCTAACTTCACTAAAATGTTAGTTTACTCCCTCATCTTTAATATTTTGATATTTTTAGTTCTTTAATTTCAAATGTGTCCATTAACTCCCTTACCATTACATGAATACTCATAAATTAAATTTAATTTGACGAAGATATCAGTTTTTTTTTTTTTTTTAGAAAAGGGAGGCAGGATGCCAAAGATTACAACAGAGAAGAGCCGAAATCACCAAAGGAGGGCATAAAGAAAATCAGTATAGGAGGAAGACCACTCCAGCAATAGACCGCCCCGTTAAAATTATCCATGCGTTTGCAGAACCATCCTGGGAAAGCTTACTCCCAAAGTATCCTCAATGAGAATCCGCCGTAGCTCGTTTGGAGGATTCATTAGCTCATGCATACCGAAGGGATAGACGAGACTGTGCTTCGAGAGCCAGTCCGCGGCTCTATTCCCTTCTCTATACATATGAACTAACTGCACCACCCAGTTTTGAGCTAACAATCTTCGAATAGCCGTAAGGATTGTTGAGTGAGGGTGCACAAGATCTTCTCGCTTCCTTATCAAATCAATAGCCAGCTGCGAGTCAGTCTCAAGAATAAGAAATTGAGTACCTTGGTTCTAGGCCATCAACAACCCTCGGTGGATTCCTCATAGCTCCGCCAGAATTGCAGATCCGTTGCCGATTTTGCAGCAGAAGCCTCCTACCCAGTCACCATCACTATCTCTGAGGATTCCCCCTGCCGTAGCTAGACCTGCGTTCCCTTGCGCCGCACCATCCGTGTTCATCTTTCTCCAGCCACATGGTGGTGCGCTCCAACCAATCAGCTAATCAACTCGATTGGGTTTGCCGTCAATATTCAACTGCCTCGACGCATTGTCCCAAGTCTGCAGCCAACTTGCAGCTTTGGTTTTAACATAATTGATGAATGATGACTATGCTAACCTCTTACCCTGAAAAATGAACTCATTTCTATATTTCCAAATGTACCAGCACACCAAAGAAAACATGCTAGGCCAATCATTCTGTCTTCCTTCTCTATATGTCTTCTTTAAGTTCATGATGAACCAATCTGAGAGATTTGCTGCAAAAAAGGACTGCTGCTCTTGAGGTGGGATGAGAGATTCTCATACTTTCCTTGCTGCAGGGCAATCCCTAAGACAGTGAAAGTTTGTCTCAATATCATTGATGCAAATAGGGCACTTGTCATCCGTAGTTGAGTGGCGAAACTTGCGTTGGCTGTTTGTTGACAACCTCTTCTTAATGGCTAGCCAAGTGAAAAACCAAACTCTTTCTGGGCAGTGTAACCTCCAAATTTGACGCCATATGGTCTGATTGTGATGGCTGTGCTTCGGGCAGCTAGCTTGGAAAGCAGAACTGACGCTGAACAACCCGTTAGAGGAGTGTCTCCAGAACAAGTTATCTTCGTTACTGGACATGGGGTCCAGGAGTATCGATCGAATCTTATTGGTAACCTCAGGAGGGAGGTATTCTTCAAATTCGTGCAACTTCCATCCATTCTCCTCTTCCCAGTAATCCGCTACCGATCTGCTTCTCTCCATCATAGGGATCTTCGTTAAGGCCATCTCCAAAAGAGGTACCTGCATAGCCCAAACATCATTCCAAAAGTTGATCAGTCTTCCATTTTTAACATTTATAGCCGCACCTTTGCGCAAGAGATTTATAGTTTGAGAAAAACTGTTCCAGGCGAAGGAACCTCCCTTTCTTTAGCTAAGTAATTGTAGCCCTTGTCGGTTCCCTCCGTATTTGCTCCGCATAACTTTAGCCCATAATGTTGAGTCTCCGGTAGCAATTTTCCATGCCCCCCTTGGCTAACATTGCTTGATTTGCGAGCCTAGTAGGTCTGATTCCTACCCCTCCTTGATTCCTTGGTAATGCGATTTGTTCTCATGCCACCGGGTGGAATTTCGTCTGTCCTTCCTCTTCTCCCCACACAAACTGGCGGTTAATCCTGTCAAGATTTTTGCAAACAGAAGCAGGGATTCGTTCTGTAAACATAGGATATATTGCCATAGAGGAAGATACAGATTTTACCATAGTGATTCTAGCTGCCGCTGATAAATGCTTGGTCTTCCAAGCTGCCAATTTGTTTAGTTTTCTTCATGAAGTCCAATTGTGTCCATTCAACTCTCATCACATGAAAAGTTGTATTTTCCAAGAATACCTTTTGAATGGATACTTTAGCATATAAACATCCAATTATCCAATTCACTCCTATAACATAGAATTTTATGTTTTATAAGAAAATTTGAATAAATAGTTAAAAGGGTTTTTAACTATGGGTAAAAAAATTAATTGCATCTTATTTTCGACACAGAGTCTGTGAATTTGATTAGACGGATTGTTGTCTGGCTAAACTTTTGCCCATTAAATATTCAGTTGAGTGCTCACGATAAATTTGTTAAAGATCGACTTGGCATGACACTCGCGATGCACTACTTCTGTCCTGCCATGCTCCGCATGCAAAAAAGTCTCTTTAGGGGGTTGTTCCCTTGGAGAACCCTGTGATGCCCAAGCCACTAGTAAAAAACTAGACATGGTCTTAACCGCTTCTACTTAAAAAAAAGTCTGAAACTGCATCTAAATGCATCCATGGACCATGAGCTTTAGCCTAAGCATACGACATATCTCTTCCTTGGCGGTTAGTATGTAGGGTGACTATAGAGGAGCAATGTAGTCAAAAGCGAGTTTCTACGTAGAAACGTCTTGGTGATCTAGAAGCGTAAAATCGTAAGTTTTTAAGTTTTAAAACGGAGTTTTTAACTACATAAGTTATAAAATCTGAGATTTTGTGTAGAAGCGTTTTAGTGACCTAGAAACGTAAAATCGTAAGTTTTTATGTTTTAAAGCGCGATTTTGACTACATTCAGGAGCCAATGAGTGGCTGCTAGTCAGGGGGTCACCAACAAGAATCTATCGTGATAATGGCGAGTGTGTTGATTGTCGATGATCTGCTCGTTACGAAAGTAGGTGCACTGAGTATCTTAGTAAAGAATGTCTCGCGGTCGTACTTCTGCATTCTTTGCGGGCTTCCAACCTCAAGTTCTCCTTAGAGAAGGGTATGTCTTAGGGGTGGCATCCGGTTTGATAAACCCTAATCGAACCGAAACCAAAATATACTTATTTGGTTCAGAATTCGGAAAAGAAATCTGGCTAATTCGAAAACCAAGATTCTATCGACCTAACCGATTTTCTGAATTTCGAACAGACAAATCGAAACATAGGCTCACTACTACTTGAGCCCAGTGCACTCCCCTCCCCAAGTCCAGCCTAGTCCCTCAAAACCCAAAACAATCGCCTCTCCCAAGCCCAATTCCCCACTAGTTCAATACCTAGCCCAACCTGCTACTCTCACCTCCCACCACCACCCCCACAATCATCAACCACCACCTCTCTTCCAAATGCATCTTAAACCCTAAAAAGACGACAAGCGGCCACCATTGCCAATTCTCATCTCATCTTCGTCCATGCAACTGCAGGTGGCCAATTTCGTAACCAATATGATTTTAGATCGAAATTCATTGTACCCATCTCCTTCTTCTTTCGTATGAAAAATGGACTCTGGTGCGGCATCTCGACGGCGGCGGGATCGGCAAGGAGCGGTGGCGGCTCGACGATAAAGTCGGCAGGGGAGAGCATGCAGGGGGCTCAGAAACTCGCCCTGGCTGAGCCCCTGCATGCTCTCCCCTAGCTTCTCTTTTGCCACTGCTTCATTTTCCTTTGAGCGACGGACTTGGCGAGGCCTACTTGGGGAGAAGGAGAACTCGGCGACGGAGGGAGCTCACCGCTACCTCGGGCGGCGGAGCGCTCGAATAGCTGAGCGAAGAACTGTCGGAGAGGGCGGACCGGCGGCGTGTTGTCCATAGCAGAGAGAGATAAAGAGGGAGAAAAAGGCAAGATGGAATGGGAAATAGAGAGTCAGAGAGAGGGGAGGGGAACACATAGGAGAAGGAAATTAGGAATGAGATTTGAGAAGGAAGAAATGTTTGGTTCGTCGGGTTTACCGATTTTGCACCGAATATAGTTCGGTTTGAAATTGGTTTGACCTTAAACAATATGGAGTATCGATATGCTCTAATTCAGTATAGTTTGAATCGAACCGATGCCCACACCGAATCTGCCTAGCGAGGACCTAAAAATTGGAATCTGATCTCGTAGCTATATATAAATATCTTTGCACTAAATCTAGGCCCTCAAACCAAGGGTGAGGCTTATCACACTCTTTGGATTGTGTGTAATCATGAATAATCTTTTAATTTTACAATTTAATTTTTTTATTGATGAATGATTGTGGTATATATATATATAAAAAAAAACTTTGTTTTGCATTAGAAAAATTATATTAATTATACTCGAACAGTTAGACCCTTCCATCGTTAATGCATCTTGTAATTTGTTAATGCATTTGATTGTTGTTGTTGAGAGTGTAACTTGAAAAGAAAAAACACCCCACGATGACAATGTCGAAAATTAGAAAGGTTGAGACGAGGAGAGAGGCACTGCACAAGCAAAGCAAGTGCAACTTTAGGACATGACAAAGAGCAAACCGCCATACCATTATTCCAAACTCAAAGTCCAAACAAACACCGGAAATAAATAAAAAAGAATTCATACCAAATACCATCTGTCTCCTAAATTCTTTTGTATTCCTTTAATAAAGTATGCTGCCTTGTATTCGCTCCACTTTCACCAATTTCCCATATTCGTCCATTTCATTAATTACATGTACATTTGAACCCCATAAATTCTGGTTTTAATGTTTGTAACTAGAGTTGTTTGATTTTGATTTAACTGAATTGTTTAGTCGAGATTACAATCACTTAGAAATACCAACTGAAATTGGCATTTTGGCTCTTTTGAGACTTATCAATTAGCTGAAAGCCGCCCCTCAAAAAAAAAAAAAAAAAAAAAAAAACAAAACTGAAAGCCTGAAACCAATCAAATTGGTTCGGCTAAGTAGTTATCTGACAATCGGATTAAGTACCTTAAATATCCGATTTTGATTTTCGATTTAAAATCGTATCGCAATCAACAAATAACAGACCAATCAGGTCTACCTCCTGCAAGAACAAGGAAAATTACAACGTTGGGGTAAAAGAGAGTTGCAGACTGCATCAAATGAAAGGTTTACTTACATAGTTACATGTTATCACTTGCCAATTCTCTTCTCTCGTTACTTTGCTGTCACTGGCCAATTTCGCATCTCATAAATCGTGGAGTTGTGGTTCTAACCTTGTGGGCTGGTCTTCAAAGTTGAGAGAGGAACACAAATACCAATATCAATCATTCATTAACTACTTTCAACCCAATTGTACACATTTAATGTAGGTATTTTCATCTTTCCATTCAATGGAAGGGATAGAGAAGGAAAGGAAGTGACTGAGGTATGAGGTTAGAATAAAAGGGGGCATGTGGAATAGGGCAGTGGCGTCGACTGAAGTTGTCTCGTCCGATGACAAAATAATGAAGAGGAGAGAGCGCTGGGATCGAGAACGGTGGGGCACCGACCTCACAATCGAGAGGACGATATTGAGAATGAGGATGGGAGAGCGAAGAAGGGAGGGGAGGTCAGGGTGTTGAGACTTGAGAGTTGAGAAACTCTCGATATCAATGGGGAAGGAAGGAGTCGGGGCCTGGTCGTTTAGATTCAGAGTGACTGATTTTCAATTGATTGATTAGTCACCTTCTATGTCTCTCGTAAGATGCATTCATCATGCTAAAGATATGATGAAACCCTTAGACTTTCTATGGTGGTGCACATGCCTTTTATTGGGCGTATTTTCAGGATTTTGAATTTTGCATAATTTTTACTGAACTGTGTATGGTATATCAACAGTATAATTTATAGCTGAAAAGTAAAACTGCACCCCCCATTCAAAATTTCCTGCCCATAGAGTGATTTTAGGAAGCTGATGTGGCAGAGTGTTAAGCGAAAAAAAAGGAGTCCCGCCTGATTTCAGAACAAAAAAACTGTCCACTACCCACCTTTTCTCCTGCCATGCCCACGTTCTCATTTAATTTGTATTTATTTTTTATTTTCCAGGAAGGAAATAGTCCACTGAAGAAGCGTGCAAAACAACAAAATCTAGAGGCAAAGCTCCTTCCTCTTCCCCTTCGCATCAGTTCCTTTGTTTTTTTCTACTGTTATTAAGAGAGAATCTGAGGTGGGAAGAAGAAGAAGAAGTTGTTGTCTGTCTGTCCTCTTCCCTTATCGATTGCGCTCGACCATCGCGTTTGATGGTCCTTATTTGTTAAATTGCTCGAGTTCGAGGTCTAAGTCGGTTCCTCGAAATTGGTGATTGGAGATGACGTAAGAGAGCCCATCTTCGCCGAGCTTGAGTTGAGCCGGCTGGTCGACGGGTTGAGGCTGTGCGGAAACCTGGGGGTTGTCTTCAGATCTTCAAGTTTGGAGTATTTGGATCTCCGATCAAGTATCACCGGGCGGAGACGGCGTCCCCACAGGCCTGAAATTGCTCCTGGTATTTCGGGGCGGCGACATTCGGGTCGATTCAGCAGTATTGAAGCATCAGGCGCGGCGGATTTCATCCTCGACTCCCCGCAGCGAGCGCCGCTGCTTCGAGTATTCACTCACTGGGATAAGCGGAGCTCTATGGGAAGGCGGTGATTGGAGATCCCAAAGACAAGATATGTGAAGTTGTGGAGAGTCTTAATGCAGATTTGCTGGTGATGGGCTCCCGAGACTTTGGTGCTATCAAAAGGTGATGTACTTGAAACTAAGCCGTTCATTATTGGTTGATGGTGTTTGGTGATTGGGGATGCCATATACTGGTGTCCTTTTGAGCTCTAGATGTTGATGGGTTTCCTTGGGATAGATTATGTTCTGTGGACGAAGAGTTGTAGAGATAATTGCAGGGTCACAGGTTATGTAGAAGCTAATGTGTAAACAAGATTCAATGGTTTGGTAGAGACAGGCCTTCAAATGGTAGATTAGGGTAGATCATGTATGAAGTTATCTTAAATATGTGTTTATTTGTGAAAACATCTTAGCTTCACTAGGACTGCTGTGATCTTATCTTACACAAGAACACAAGTGATGTGCTAACATCTGGTGTTCGTCGACAGGATGTTCTTGGGGAGTGTAAGCAACTATTGTGCAAACCACGCACAATGTCCTGTCATTATAATCAAGGGAAAGGGAAAGGAGGAGGAAACTTCTTCATAGACAAATAAGGTATATCCATATTTCTGGGTCGTTACTTCTAGGCCATCAGGTTAATTTCATTGTCACAATGATACTCTAGGGTAGAAATATATTCTCTCTGCGACGTGTTTGTTCTGTTTATTAGTTCGAATGTATGACTTTGTTTACTTTCAACAACCATTCTGGCAAGTCTTACCAACGGGTTATGCTTTCCGACCCCGAGTTATCTGTTTGAGCTGAATCACCTTGCAACTGCTTTATATTCTTGACAACGTATCCTTTATGAATCGCGCCTTACATCTCTGTGCATTGTTTCCGGTCCATTCTTCTCCTTTTCTGCAAAATAGCTTCCTAGCAGCTTCATCGTCGGTTCAGGTGTGTAGGTATCTAGATGAACTGGATATTCTTTTTGAAGCTTTGGACCATTCAAAGTGCATTAGCCGTCTAATTCTTACACTAATCCATGATTGCCAATTATTTTTGTAATGATCTTGATTGTAAGACAAACAGATGAAGTCGAGAGAGCTATATCGGATTTGATTACATGGAGTCAGTTCTCTTTTCGACTTCATGAAGGAAGACAACTATAAGCGAGAAACCTTTTGTACTTGACATGCCTGTTTTCATCTTTAAGATATAACTAATTTCTGTTTGTTGTGTTGTTCTTGCGTTGTTGCAAAATATTTACTGGTCTACACTGTAACTTGGAAGATTTAATATGGAATCGAGACGTGTTCTTGTGCTTTTTGTGTTTTGGTGAGTGGTTTCTAAACTGAATTTATTTTCACACAGGCTTGCTGAGCTCACTTTTATGTTCTCAGTGAGATTCAGCTACAAATAGTCATATACTGGTATGCTTTCAGCCTCATTCGAGCTCTTCCTAGACTCCCTATCATAACCAAATGATTCTGCAATTCTTGTGTTGGGGTGAAATTCAAATTGCATAAATTCTTTGTTTTTGTTATACCTATGAAGATCTGATCATGTAGTGAATTGTGACATGAAATTTTGAAGGGTTGAGTGAAAGGTGTTAACATATGGACTTTAGTTTATGAGCGTTCCCCAACCGTGTTAATTAACCAATACTCTTTGTACTGTTTACATAGTCGATTTAGATTTCGTATCACTATATAATTATGAGAAACTGAGTAGGAGCTGAATGGGCTGGAAATATAGTTCATCATACTTTTTGGTATTTCAATTAGCAGCCATGACTTTACATAGCAGAATGCTCCAATTCTTTCTTTTTGGTATGTGCTAATTCTGTGAATAAAGGCAGAAATAATTTATGTTTTACTCAGACCACAACATAATAAGGTTTACCTACTGCAATTCAGGCTACTAAAATGTTGTCTTTGAGATTTTAGCTGCCATATTTTGTCTTTAGAATCTCTATCAGAGTTGCCTTAACAACATATTCTGATGGGATATAGTTTAAGTGTTAGGACAGCTAAATTAAAATAATTTCTCCTATTTTGTTTGTCATTGCCCTTAACTTTGCTTAATTGCTTCTCCTGATGTAGCGAAATAGATGAAAGAAGCAGTGAAGTCTCTCATCACTTTGCTTAATTGCTTCTCCTGATGTAGCGAAATAGATGAAAGAAGCAGTGAAGTCTCTCATCATTAGAGTGTTGAACCAAATAGGAGCACGTAGAGGTGGCAATTAGGATCCAAATCCATGAATTCAATCCAATCCATCCACCAAATTATTCACTTAATCCAATCCATTTAAATTCAATCCATTTTATCCAAATCCAATTGGATTGGTGGATTCATGGATCAATCCATGAATCAATATGACAAATTACGATTTAGTACCTATATTTTTTATATTTACATTTTGGTACCTAAAATTTATATTTTTATACAAAAAATATCATTGTAAAATTACATTTTGGTACCTAAAATTTTTCATTAAGACATTTTAGTACCTAAACTTTTCACAATTTACATTTTGGTCCAAACCTTGGATGTCATTTGGATTCATGGATCACTCAACCAATCCATTGGATCCAATCCATTTGATTCATGGATCCACCAATCCAATCCACGAATCCACGAATCCGATCCAATTGCCACCTCTGAGCACCGTAAAGTGAAACGAGAGGAATAATCAAACTGTTCTTAGATAACTTGGTGGAGTTCGCCAGTTTTTATTAAGTCAATTGCTATACGTTTTTAGTGAAAGTGCACTATGATCAATAGGTTTGCTATATCTTCATTGCTATATCTCATTCAAAAATTAGCAATGTCACAATTATAAGTAATGGCAAGATTACTATTGATTCTTTAAAAAAATATTGCGAATGTTTCAAATTATTTGAAAATTTTAATGAAATGATTATTATGAACTAATTATAAAATTCGTCCGACCAACGGGACGGTAAAAGCTAGTTTCCTTGATAAGTTTTATCATACCAAAAAGAAATAATCGAAAGTTTCAGGAAAATGTTTGAAGGTGTGACATAAGCAAGAGTGTTGGTTGATAGAGCCAAAGTCCATCAAAATCACAATTAATATAGATTTTAAAACACAGTAACAAGCGTGGTCAAATTTACAAACATATTTTTTAGATGGACTATTTTCTCTGTATCCATTCAACATCCTAGAGAGTAGAGTCCCAGCCCAATCCTTCTTGTAATAATTAAAAAATAATATACATAATAACATTTCAAAAAAAAAACATAGTCGTGCGAGAGACGTATAAATATAATGGATAAAGTAAGCAGCCCGTGGGGCCACGTAGACAGGTGATTTCCGGCGAGAGAAAGAGAAAAAAAATTATATAAATAATAATTTAGTAGCACAAAAAATTCAGCCGGGGAAAAGGGGATTTCTCTTTATCTCGTGTGTGAGGCGCCACGAGCAGTGTGCATTATCTTATCGCGCGATATGATAAGTACGAAACAACAGTATTCTTCTTTTTTTGAAAAAAGCTTTTTCCAAAGCGGAAAGAGAGGAAGAAAACCACTTTCGTTTTTTTTCCTTCTTTTCCAATTATCTTTTTAGTTTTGAAAAAAGTCTTCATAAATAATAATAATAACAGTTTTCTTTATTTCTCGTCATCGTTTTCGCAGAACCACCTCACGTCAGTTTCGTTGGTGACGCCAACGGTTCTAATCAGAAGAACGTTTTTTGTTTTCTTATAGGGGAGGTTCCAAGCGGTAAATCACATTTTGACACCTAAACTATGTCATTTTGTTAGAACCACTCCCTTTTCCCCCACTTTTTCCATTCACATTCCTTTCATTTATGTTCATCGATCACATGTTTCTTTTGGGTTTGAAGAAGTTTTGATGGCTAGGGACAACGCTTGTTCGCAGTTTCCCCAGTCAGCAGCGTACTCTCTAGAAAAAATTTATAGTCAAAATTCCACTACCATAGAATATTTCGGACGAGCACACTGACAAGAAATTGTATTCATAATCGATATAAGTGGTGTCCGTCAATGACAAAAATAGATAAATTATTCTTTTTTGATGGACATATCAATTGGGAATATCGAGGAATGACATTCAATAGCAGGGAAGAAAGACATACTAACCAAGGAGAACCGGAATCGAACCATCTGAGTTTTTTTTTTGTCGGGAGTAAAAGTCACTCGACTAGGCCAACGACTGCCGAAATACTTACGTTGACCATCGCGAAGGCGAAGCATTAGGAGTGGTGATCTGGATGAGGAACGATGTTTTTTCGAAATGTTTGCTCCTTCTCTTAATCCCTCATAAACAAAGGAAGTAAGGGTTTAGGTGAAAAACGATGATTTGAGTCCTTTTTATACGAGAGACTTGAGGTGAGTCGGTATAAGCAGACCAACATATAATGGAAAATAGATAAAAAGAAAGTAACAAAAGGAGTGATTCGAAAGATAAAAACAACATGGTCCAGGGGTTAAAATTGTAAGTTTGCAATGAAAGTGCTTAGTATAAGTGACGAAAAAAGTGATATCACTATAAATTGAAATGAGTGAACAAGAGAAAAGATCCTTTGAGTTCGGTTTGAGGCTTGTTTTGTTTGTTGTTTGTTGGGGGAAGGAGGCTGTGGTAGCCTACATAACGCTCCCAGCGTAACTACGGTGCGCCGCTTCGAAGCCCAGGTATAATTATCCTCTCAGAATAAATGCTTTTGTTTACAAAAAGCGATGATGCCGACCTAGGACTAGGAGTGCAATTGGGAAAAATAAAAAAGAAAACCCTAGAAATAGGAATACCCGTTTTGGTTTAATTGGGAACTGGATCTTCGTGAGAACTGAGGACTCAAATGGACGCCTAGCTCCGGTCAATTTGACCGCACTTGGATTGGATGGAGCTTTTTGCAGAAAACCTTGTACATATTTGACTATTTAGTATTTTATATGATTGATACCTAACCTAATGGAGGCTTTGCATTTCCCCATCTTATACTATCGTGGTTTTCGGATATTCATGACTGTCATTAAAAAATCATGTCACCCACACCAAGTAAATGCTTGACAGAAAATTTCAAGTTATCCAAAAAAAAAAAAAATACAATGACATTAACTCTTGTCTTTGGCATGAGGATGGCTAATTAACAATCCGATGGCCTAGCTTGATTATTTTGTGTAGTGGATAAGGTTTACTAAGACACGATTCACACTTCTATAAATAAAAATAAAGTTAAAACGAAGGTATTTGATTTATGGTGTTTTGGAACAAAATTATATTAAGCTGCTCCTACTCCTGTATATGGAGGTTCGATGAGAGCTCCAAACCACGACTATGACTACTTTTGCATATAAAAAAAAAAAGAAGATAAAACTTGACTTGGTTCTAGGAACTCTTGTCCCTGTCGACCTCCACTCATATTTATAGCCATGGGGTAGTAATCGCCATATAGAATCGTCATCTTGATAACTACCATGAAGAGCCGCTCTCCCCTCTTCCTCAGACGTGGCTGACGATTGACGTGCATGTCTTCCAATGTGGGAGGGTGAGTGGTCGTTGCATCCTCAACTACCTAGGTGCTTCTCTTGAAAATGTCGTAGGTCTTAAGAGTATAGCTCGCTACATCTGGTCTTGTTCAAAATCTCTCCCGTGTGATGAGATATTGTGTCAATATCTCGTCTTGTGATGAGCTAGCTAGTAGTGTCTCGGAGAAGCGAGAATGGTCCACTTCGTGACTTGGTCGCAGTCGTCTCATCTCGCGTCCATGGATTCCTCGCAACATACACATGGCCCTCTTGTCTTATGGCCATGGACTTCTCCCAACACGCTCATGACTCTCTTGTCTCGCGATCATGGACTTCTCAAAATTTAGTGTACTTTTGGACACACAAACTCGTGACTATAAGGCGTGAGCTCGTGGGCCGTAGCATAATCTCCATTGACGAGAAGGCCATGCCTCCGTTGACTCACGCTCGCGTGCTATTTAGCGACTTCAGCTTAAAATATCTATAACTACAGTCAGAGATCGAACTCAAGTTAAGTTAATTGTTGTAATTAATCTAATCTTGTAAAAACATAAAGTACCTTGCAAATAATCAATGTCGTCATAAGATCATTTTCCGTGTAAATAGTATCCAACAACCAGTGGCGGACCTAAGGCAAGGGAGGGTGTGTCAGACGACACACCCTCGCTCGAGAATTTTGTGAAGGACCTACATATTTTTGGTACAAATTTTTTTATTTCGAGATAGCCGACACACCTTCAATAATTATAGCCGACACACCTTCATTATACTCGAAGAATTTATTATCCGAATAAATCAA